CATGCACACTTTATGGGCATTTTATGTGTGTCAATTAAGGCTCAGGTAAGCTGTAAAAAATAATATTGGTAAGGCACCAGACACGTGTTTAATAGTTAATTTATAAACAGTAGCGCTTCTTGTTGTTAGTCATTGGGCCTGTAGTTGCATCTGGATGATTATGTCACTAATTTTCCTTCACTAGAACACAGACTCAGGTCTATTTTGCTAATACCTGGCACATAGTAGGTGCTTTTTAAATAGCTGTGGTTGGAAAACAGAGGAGCTACAGCCCTGCTACTTTCTTCTGGGCCACCTCAGACCCCAGAGGGTTAATTAATCCCACCTGGGGAAGATTCCATGATTCCAGGCTTCTATGAATGAGAACCAGGACAGGTCCGTCCCCACAGTCAAAACCCCTAGTGGGGAACCCCTGCCCCCCTTCCTCTGTCCCCCTTCCCCACTAGGGGTTTTGGCTGTGGGGACGGACCTGTCTTGGTTCTCATTCATAGAAATGGAAATAAAGTGGGACCTGTGATGAGACGTGATGGGCACAAGACACATGTCCCCCATCCCAATCCCTCCCTGCCCCCACTGCGGACAGTAGAAGGACGTGGCCTTTGGAACATAGATATGCTCTAAAATGAGGCAAGAGGTCAGCACTCAAGAGTCCCGGCTGAGATGCTAGACAGACCTGGATTTGAATCCCAGCTGTGCTGGGCTGTGTGACTTCAGATAAGGCACTGTACCCCTCTGAGCCTCCGTTTTCTCATCTGTAAAATGAGAGTGATGATATTGTTCATTGTGTGGTGTGGTGTGTTCAAGCACTCAGTAAATGTATCCTGATTGACTTGGTTGAATTAATAATAACTTATACTTTCACCATTCACCATATACCAGCTCCTGGATGTGTGGCCCATGCACCTGCCTTCAGCCTTACCCACTTGTATGTGCACTCATGGAACTCCTACTGTGTGCCAGGCACCATGCGAGTGCTAGAGGAGGGAGGTGAACAGACCCCCAAACCACTCTCCTTATGCACTTTGTACCCTCAGAGACTCTGAGTTAATTGGCCCAGTAGGGACCCAGGAGCAATATTTTAAAAATTCCTAGAAAATCCCTATATAGAGTGGAGGCTCCTACCATGTAGGAAACAGAGGCCTAGAGAGGTGAGGCAACTTGCCCAAGGCCACATAGCTAAGAAAGGATGGAGGTGGGATGTAACCCAGACATCTGATCCTGGGACCCAAACCCGCCTAAACACCCCAAGAGGGTTAAAGGTGATAGGCTCACCTTGTATTTGCCCTAAAGCCACCAAACAGCCAGCCCCTCAGGCTGATCAGAGCAGGGCAGGGGACAAGAAAGGAGCCCCATTTCTCTCTAGTGGCTCCTTAGCACCCCTTATGGTGACCACTATAGGTGACCAGAATCCCCCATTTCCACATCAAGTGGGAGTCTGGCCCAGGGACAGAGCCGCAGGCTGGGAGCAGCTGTGCAGTTTTACCAACCTGGAGACAGTGGGGGCCTATTCAGGCCCTGGAAAGCTCCTGGGTCCCTGAGAACAGCAGAACCCTCTTCCCATCCTGGCCCCCAGCCCCCAACCCCCACCCCCTCTGTGTTTACTGCTGGCACCCAACCAAATGTGCGCCACCCATAAAATGGCCCTTTTGGATAACCTCGTTGCAGATGTGAGGGCAGACTGGAGGGGCTCTAAGCAGGATGCAGCCTTGTTGGGCTCTTTCCAACAGAGTCATTCATTCACTCTTCAAAGAAGCAGTAGAGACCAGTGGGGAACTAGGATGCTGTGTGACCTGGGCAACTGGCTTCACCTCTCTGGGCCTCATTTTTATCATCAATGACATGGGAATAAAAACAGTGCCCACAACATAGGGGTGTGAGTCTCAGTGAGTTGATGATGTCGAGTGCTTAGAGAAGGCCTGGCATTTAACAGGGGTGCATTAATTGTAAGCTGCTATTATCATGGAATCCAGGTCACTGTGAAAAGAGGCTGGGTAGAGGCAGTTGGGGAGGCTCCCAAGAGGAGGTGATATCTAGACCAGAAGCTAAAAAATGAGGGGGAACTAGCAAGATGGCAGGGAGTGGGGAGGTGGGAAGCGTAGAAGGGTGTCATTGGCAGAGGGAACACAGCTGTAAAAGCTCAGAGCTGAGGGAGAGGTCGACTCCTGCCCTGGCACTCATGACACCTCTTTAATCTATCCCCCACTAGTCTTGGGAGACACAGACTATAACTAAGGCCATACACGCCAAGTCCCCTGCACCCCTACCTTGAACATAACGGGGGGCGACTACTGACCAGGAAGCTGCTGATGGGGAAACTCACCCCCGCCTGCTTCCCTAAGGGTCTCCAGAGTCTGCTTCTGTCTTACCAGGTTTTTGTGTGTTGTGGAGAAGCTAGCCACACCTCAGTTACTAAGACCCCGCAGGAGCTTAGCCAGAAGACAACCCAGCCTGGGACACCCAGCAAGGTTCATACACCGGCATTCATATTTGACTCTCCCGATGTTCTTGGCAGGCTTTGCTGGGTGGAAGAGGGAGGGCCCTTCCCCACTGAGTGAGACAGAGGCCATTGTGTGTTATGAAACCCAAACCTCGGCCCCCCTCCGGATGGGGGTGGGGTTGGCCTCGCTGCCCGCCCACCCCAGGGATCCAGCACATGCTCCTAGCCCAGCCACATCTGGATTCCAGCTGGCAGCTCCCGGGCCCAGGGCAGAGGGGGAGAAGTCACCACCGGAATTTGCCATCAAAGACAAGGGGGAGGGTGGTGGGTGAGGACACGTAGGCAGAGGCCAGCTGGAGGGTCAGCGTGGCCTCTAAACCCAAATCTCCGCCCAGGGTGCAGGGAGCATGGCACTTTTGGTGAGACCCATTTCAGTCTTGCAGGAGGTTGTAAAGGGAGCCACTCCACTGCCATGTCTCCTCGGGGAAGCAGAGGGGTCGGTGCCTCCCCTGCAGCCACTGTTAGTAGTAGAGCTGGACATGGCACCTGGGTCTGTGTGGCCTCAAGTCCAGAGGTGGTGCTCAGCCTCTGGCAACACCAGCGCCCACTCCATGACTATAGAACACCATTCATCCTTCTCTTTTCCACCCCAGTCTGCCCCTTCAGCCTCTAGGCCCTGGCCCATTTGTTCCCCAAATAGGGTTGTCCCCACCAGCATGGAACAGCCCTCTGCAGACTAATTTCTCTACCCCTCCAGAAAACCAGTGAGAGTTAGGCCAGAATAAAGGTTTATTGTGCCAGTGTGTTACATCTCAGCACCTGGAAAGCTGTGCAGAGGTGGGGACAGCCCCAGATAGAGGGACAGGGGAGAGGACCCCACCTGAAAGCCTCCCCAAAGCAGGATGGAGCCCAGGCTCCCTGTCAGAAGACTGAGTGCTGTGAACACAGGCTGCCAGACAACATTTGGGAACAAGGGTGGGGAGCCAGAGCCCCCCTCGCCGTTCCAGCTGGGCGTCAGACACCTTCCCCTCTCCCCTTGGACTCCCCAGCAGGGTAGCCAGAGCCCCCTCACCACTCCAGCTGGGTGTCAGACACCTCCCCTGTCCCCTTGGACTCCCCAGCATGAAAGTCCCCTCAGACACAGCCCCCCAGCTTCTAGGCTGCTTCGGAGGCCTGACAGCAAGGGTTTAATCCACTCACCCCTGTCCCATCAGCCATAGTGGGGTGAAAAAATCCACCCCCAGGCCAGTGTTGCTTGGGGCACAGTGCCAGAGAGGGGTTGAACCCCCATATCCCCAAATCTGAACCAATCAGAAATGGGGGTGGGGGTGGAGGGCATGTTCAGGAAAATTAAGAGCAGTATTTTCCAGAGTATGGACTATAGAATTATACTCGGTAGCTGTAAAAACAAAAACAAAATAAGACTAAAGTACCTCATGGTCAAAAGACATTTGGGACAGGCTAAGCACAACCAAATTCAATAGAGGCCTTTCCTGGGGAAATTGTCAGAGCTCTGCAGGACCCTAAAAAAATGGTGGCAGGGCAAAGTGGATAAAAAAAGTGGTGTTGGCTCGGCGCCTATAGCTCAACCGGCTAAGGCGCCAGCCACGTACACCTAAGGTGGCGGGTTCGAATCCCCAGCCCGGACCCGCCAAACAACAATGGCGGCTGCAATCAAAAAATAGCCGGGCGTTGTGGCGGGCGCCTGTGGTTCCAGCTACTTGGGAGGCGGAGGCAGGAGACTCGCTTGAGCCCAGGAGTTGGAGGTTGCTGTGAGCTGTAATGCCAAGGCACTCTACCCAGGGGGACAGCTTGAGGCTCTGTCTCAAAAAAAAAAAAAAAGTGGTGTTTCCTCAATAAATTTGACCTTGAAATCTTGCTTCCATGGAGTACTTCAGGGAACTCAGTTTGGGAAACACTCATTTAGGGACCTGGCATAACACAGGTGGAGGCTTTCTCACAGAGGCTCCTAATTAACCAGGCTGACTTGTGCCACTGCAGCTCTGAGCAGAGACAGAGTGACACTAAAATATTTGAGTTGGGAAGACACAAAGGATGGGATCATTTTCAGTTCCAAAATACTGCTTGCTGCCAGCCTGATTTATCAGTCTTGAGGTATCTCAGGGTCTCTCATCCAACCTCTTCCCAAACACCTGCCTCTTCTATTTTTCGTTAGTACCTCGACTGAAAAGCAATGATGTTTGCTCTCTCACAAGGGACCTGGGACTTATGTCTCCCGATCAATGTGGCTAATTTCATGCGCCATTTTGTCGTGGTTCTAATGAGAACACATCTCCTGTTCTTCTCCTCCTCCTCCTCTTCCAGGGTGTACTGTGGGATGTGACCCTTGAGGCTGCAGAAGCAGATGTCACTGGGGCCCAGTGAGACTCCAGGGTAGGCCTGGGATCAGCATCTCCACCTGCAGTAGCCTCAGGACTCGCTAGGATTGGCATCAGGTGGCCAAGGAGGAGGTGCCAGGAAGCAGGAAGGACTGACGGGCTTTTCACGCACAGGGAGGTGACCACCTGGGTCACCTGTCAAGACTGGCAGCCCAGGAGGCCTGTCAGACAGTGGGGGGGACACTGCCACAAGCACAGGGGCTTTTGGGGGAAGCTTCTGGTCCCTGGGCTTCATGGGCTATTGAGAGAAACCCCTCCGGCACCCCTTGGCCCTCACCAGCTGCCTGAGCCTCCTCAGCCACCCCTGAGCACGGTTCCTCTGACACCTCTAGCTCCTGCACTGGGACCCCACATGCCTCCTGGGCTTCCTGGTCCACACCCTGGCTGCCCTCCACCACCCTGGCTCCATCCCCGCTGCCTGGGGTGGCCCTGGCAGGAGACTTGAGGTTCTGGGTGGCAGCCAGGATGTCAGCCTGGAGCTGCTGGGAGGAGTCCAGGGCCTCCTCAGGCCGCCCATCAGGAGCCCTGTCTGGGACCTCACTGAATGTCCGGGGACCCCCGGCCCGGTCACTCTGGTCCACATACTTCTTTTTGGGGAAGGACGATGGATAATAGGCTGAAGCCTTGTGCCTCTGGCGAGTGATGAGCGCGGCACAGACGATGAACATCAGCAGGAAGGCCAGGGAGCCCACCACGGCAATGAGCATGACGTACTGGCGGAAGAAGTCCACGATCCCGTCCAGGAAGTTGGTAGGGGGTGAGGGGCCTGCCAGGAGCGTGGGCTGGGGTCCCAGGGACGTGGGGCTGAGGGCTGGGGTCCAAGATGGTGGGAGGCTCGGGGAGGAGGCCGATGAGCCCTCGGCCTCCCCGCTACCCGCCACCTCCTCCAGGAAGGTGGGCTGCAAGGGCACAGAGTGGGCTGCCACGGACACAGGCTGCAGGAACAGCAGCAGAGAGAGGAGGATGCTGGGGGCCGCCATGAAGACCATGTCGTCCCCCGGACCTGTGGGGACACAAGGTGGGGAGAGAAGTCAGGGTAGGATTCAGAAACAGTGCTCCCCAGGCCCTTAGCAGGAACAGGGACCATGAAACATATTCTAGCAAGTCCCTTCCCTATTGGAGCCTGAGCCCCTGTCCCCATCATATAAGGGGACCCATTCATTTAGATTTAGGGTGCACACCTACTCCCCCAACTTCCCTCTGAGGTCCTGAAGGGCATGGGCTTATTTATCTTGGCATCCTTGCAGTTTTGCACCATTTCTGGTATACAGTAAGCGCTCAATAAATGTATCCTGATTAACTTGGTTGAATTAATAATAACTTACACTCTCACCATTCACCATATACCAGCTCCTATATACTGGGTGGAATTTCTCACTGAATCCAGATATCTACCCAGAGAGGGAGGTACATCATTAACCCCATTTTCTAGGTGACAACACTGAGGCTGAGAGAGGTTAAGTGACTTGCCAAGGCCAGTATTTGGATCTAGGCATGAGAAGAGGGATGATGGCAGGGCTGAGTAAGTGAGAAACCAAGTCAGTGATCAAGGGAGCCAAAGAAGCCAAGCTCAGGGCCTTGTTCTCACGTGCTGGGTGACTGCAGAGGCTCCACATCCCGGTGCTCAGTCAGAGGCTTTCTCAAACCTCCCCCAGCCCCAGCTCTACCTTCTTCTCCAGAAGATTCCTGGGTTTGGAGGCCTCTAGGTCTCTGAACTGGGTAGGGGTCCCAGGCCTCCAAGTCTCTGAACTGGGTAGGGTCCCTGGTGCATGTCAAGTGCAGCCCACTGTCTCCCCTCACCTCCAGGCTCCAGCAAGGCTGAGGGCTCCAGAGGAAAGCCCTGGGCCCACAGTCAAGGCTGGAGCTGCCGGCTTGCCCCACCTCCACTAGATGGGAACCAGATGAGCCCCGTTGGAAGGCTGCTCCCGGCATGAACCCCCAGACCTCATCTGGTCCAGACAGCCTGGCTGATTCATAAATTCCTCATGGCTCAACTTTACAGAGGGGCTCAGTTTCTAAAACACTAACTCTCCCAGACAGTGTGAGCTGGGGCCTTAGTACTTAGACCTAGGGACAACTTGTTGTGTCCCCTGAGAACCCCCAGACTGACCCAGGGGGTTACTTAGACCCCTGAAGTAGGCTGGGACTAGAAACTTCAAGATAGAAGAACCATAGGAGCCCCTGTCCTGAAGTCTGAGGGGACTGAAATGGGGAAACAGAGACCCAGAGAGGGTAAGGGCTGCCCCTTACCCAAAGCCACACAGCATTTCAATGGGCTGGAGGAAGAAGTCGAGGTTCCCAAAACCTTGACTGCAGATCCCATCTTCAGCATCTGGGCCTCAGGCCCTGATCGGTAGAGCAGATGATACTGTCTACTTCACAGGATTCAAAGGGGGATGAGGTGGGAACAATGCTAAGTGACCTATTCCAGGTGACCTGAGGCTTCCCAATGACCTGCTGTTAATTGAAATTAATTGTACTGGCACAAGTCTGGCTCACATGGCAAAAACTAAAAAAATAATTCCAAGTACTCAAGATTTCATTTCAAATGAACTAATCATTCTGTGCTTTCCTCACGAGTGGGGGGAATCCATCCACACCTTCTTTGTTCATTTCATCCTACAGAAACCCCTGGGTAGCAGGCACCATCCTTATCTCCACTTTACAGAAGCAAAAAGGGGAGGTTCAGAGACAGACTTTCCTGAGGACACACAGATGGGAAGTAATAGAGCTGGGATGTGAACCTTCCTCTGTCTGATTCCAGGAGTGCACACACACACACACACACACACACACACACACACCATACACTCTCTGCCCCCGGTGGGCTCACAGCCCCAGGCTGCCATCTCTTGTCAGCTGAAACAGGATCTCAGATGCTAGATGAAGCCCAGGACCTCCCCACTGTCTGGCACTTGTTAGCAAAGTTTCCTACAGACAATATTGAACTTTGGGGTCTACGTCCTGCCAGTCACAAGTCAACCTCAGGAGAGATCTGTAATGGTGACAACCAAAGCGTCTCGCTGCAGAGAGCAACTATGACCGCAGGTAGCTGAAAACCTGCTCCAGTTGTGAGAAATTGGTTAGGCTGGGGTTTGGATCCCGGCTCCATCATGTCCAGCTCTGAGGTCTGACTCCTCCGGTCTTCACTTTCCCCATCCGTACATTAGGGGCAGGGTCTGAGGCTGGCCATGCGTGGGTCATACCTCTCAGAGCTGGGCTGGAGTAGCGACATACCCATGGAAGGCGGAATTCTCACCCTTCAGGGCCCAGGATCCGCTGGCATTTTCCCACGCTCAGCCAACAAATGCTTATCTTCACCTGGTGTGCACATTTGCCCATGGGCTGCCCGACTCACCACCCAGGAAAAGATCAACTTTTACCCCATTGAGTGAAACCTCCTCAGCTCTGGCCACTGAGGAATGCAGAACCAAACACACACAAACACATACGCATCACACACATGCACTTACACAGACACA